ATTCCCAGGGGATCATGAACATGAGTGAAGATAGAGCATGAAAACCAGGCCAGACTTCTGCAGGGTGTGACAGCTTCTCTCCAGACTCCCCACCCAAAAACTCCTCGAGCTTTGTAAGAACAAGGCTTTGATTTTAGCAAACACGACTGTAACCAATACAGCAAGTCAGACCTAGCAAACTGGTGGAGCTTTAGTGCCACTCCCTACACTCAACGGAGCAGGAAGTGGCTGGTGGCTGAGCAGTGTGGCGATGATGTGAACTGGGTCAGAACTGCTCCCGAGCTGTTCAGGGTGAGGTTACACAGCTGGGGTGGCACTGGTGCACTCTTCAGGGCTGCAACACACGTCGCTGCAACTAGTAATGTCCTCCAGCCTTGGCCTGAGCAGCCCCACCTCCGTGCCCATGGTCTCTGGTCCAGTGAGATAATTAATAGCATCAGGCCAAGGGTTACACCAGAGGCTCTAGCCCCAAAGGCGAGTGTCCTGAGGTCTTCAGACAGAGGTGGGGCACGGTGTGTAACCAGCACCCTGCAGCACAAGGAGAACGTTCCCCCAACAGGCCAGAGAGGCAGAAAAGAGCATCACTTACCTTCTGTCTTGATCTTGAGGGCTGTCCTCACCAGCGCAAAGAGGGTGGCATTGAAGGTGACGGTGCCATCACTGTTAAGGGGCATGTTCATGCACACCAGACGCTGCAGAGCAAACCAAGGGCTGTGACCCCAGGTGCAGAGCAGGCTGCAGCACCCCGCAAGCACACAGCCCGTCCTGGCTGGAGGACAGCCAGGCTGGCCAGGGAGAGGCTCTGCTCAGGGCACAGGAGCCCTCCCAGCTCTACTCGCTCTGTGCAGCCCCATGGGGCTCTGCCCCACTGCTTGGCAGCACATGGGCCAGGGGCAGCGACAGCCCCCATCCTAACCAGCCAGCTAAACCAGACCAAGCTGCACGGAAAGCCAGGTCAGGTCTGTGCAAATAACCCAACCTATGGGGCACTGGTGCCATCGGAGCCATTTACGTTGGAAAAGACTTTTAAGATCACCGAGTCCAGCATTGTCAGGTCCACCACTAACCCATGTCCCTGAGCACCACACCTACCCAGCTCTTAAATCCCTCCAGGGATGGGGACTGCATCACCTCTCTGGGCAGCCTGTGCCAGGGCTTTACAACCCTTTTGGTGAAGAATTTTTTCCTGATGTCCAATCTAAACCTCCCCAGGCACAACTTGAGAGCCGTTTCCTCTTGTCCTATTGCTTGTTACTTAAGAGAAGAAACCGACCCCCACCTCGCTACAAGCTCCTCTGAGGGAGCTGTAGAGTGCTGAGGGCTCCTCTCAGCCTCCTTTCCTCTGGGCTGAACAACCAGCCAGCAAGAGACACCGCACTGCTCTCGGGGAGATGCCAGTCACCCTGCATTATGCTCCACCCTCCAAAAAGTGCCTCAGGCTGCTGTAGAGCCATCTGGGGAGTAAACCTCCCAAGACCCACAAGGGTTTACACCAGTGCTTGAGCCTCTGCCCCTGTGGATCACACGTGAACCTCACACAGGGTTTGTGCAGTATGAGCTAAGCCAGGAGAAGTGTACTCATGCCCACAGAGCTGGTATTTCCAGCTCCCTCAGTGCTGTCAGCTCCTGGATACAAACTTCTACAGCCCAGTTGCCATGGCCAGGTACTCAGGCACAGCATTGCCCTCCTGCACCAGACACAGATGGCTTGGGAGTCCATTTGTTCTGGGGGCTCCACCAGTGCCCCCTCCTCGGTGTGGAGGTGAGCACAAGCAAGTCCTTGTCATCAGGAGCCTGAGACACATCAGCTCTGTGCAGATTAATAGCATCTCTCCCCGCCCCCTAGAATGCTTCCCTCCATTAAACAGGAGAGGGCAGAGCATGTGTATAAACCACAACATGGGGAAACTGGAGACACTGGGAAGCTGGATTGTCACCCTCAGCCTCCCTGGGGAGGATGCAGGGAAAAGAACCTGGTACTTGGGGAAAGTACCCCTGTGCCCAGGCACCCTGCCACCCCCTTGGCTCTTACCTTACAAGCTACACGGTGAGGGCAGAACTTCCCAAAGCCCAGGGGAGGCTGGATACGTCTCAGGAGAGTCACAACATCCAGGTGCTTGATTCTGCCCCTGCAGAGGCAACAAACTGCATTAGCAGCGTGGTGGCAGACACAGGGGACAGTGGCTCAGGCAAGGGCTGGGTAGGCTCATCCTTGTGACCTCCCCAGGCTCCTGCAGTGGGTAACCCCTACACCTCCCTACGCTACTCTGAGGGAAAGCAGCTGCTCCCTGTGGCACCAGACAGCAGATAAAGGGGAAGAGTTGGCAGCATCACTAGGGCTGGATGAAGAAGGGACTCATGTTCCCAAACATCCTGATGGCTCGTATGAGCCCTGGAATACACTGGCAAGTCCACATCTGCCTCTGAGACACTGGTATCTAAGTCTTGGACAGTGCCACAGCTCACCCTGCCGTGTGCGTGGGCAGCCCACCCCAGGCTCCCCACAGGCCATCCCCCCTGCGCCTCGCACCCCCTGCCACTCACTTGGCCTCAGGGTCATATTCAGCCCAGATCCGTTTGAACTCGTCCAGGTGATGGGGCCCAAGGATGGACCAGTCGCGGGTGAGGTAGTCAAAGTTGTCCATGATGACGGCCACAAAGAGGTTAATGATCTGAGGGCAGAGGAGCAGGTGTGAAGGACACAGGTTAGGGCAGGTCCCTGGGCAGAGGGACAGGGACAG